CATTGAATAATTTCTATTGACTTACCTTTGAGTCCACTGATTCTTTTTTCTGCTGATAGCCATATTCTGTTAAATTTGTCAAATGAATTCTCCATTTGTTGAAACATCTCAATGGGGTATTCTGTCAATTCCTGGAGCCTTGTTCTTCGCCCATTCCTTCAGTACAGCTTTGAACTGCTTCCTTCAATACCATTGGTTATTGATCATATGCTGCCTCTGGAAATGGATGAACATTGACCAGTTCTTTTTGGTACAGTGACTCTCTGTATTCCTCCCATCTTTTGATGTTTCCTTCATCATCCAATATTTTGCCAATAGAATTTTCAGTATTGCAACTCAAGGCTTCGATTTTTTTCCTCAATTCCTTCAGCTTGAGAAATGCTGAGTGTGTTCTTCTTTTTGGTTTTCTAACTCCAGGTCTTTGCACATTTCATTATAGTAATTGGTTATGTCTTCTTGAGCTGCTCTTTGAAATCTTCTGTTTAGCTCTTTTATCTTGTCATTTCTTCCATTTGCTTTAGCTACTCTCCACTCAAGGGTAAGTTTCAGAGTCTCTTCTGTCATTCATTTTGGTCTTCTCTTCTTTTCTCGTCTTTTTAATGACCTCTTGCTTTCTTCATGGATGATATTCTTGATGTCACCCCACAATTCCTCTGGTATTTGGTCACTGGTGTTCAGTGCATCAAATCTGTTCTTTAAATGGTCTCTAAATTCAGGGCGGATATTATCAAGGTCATATTTTGGCTCTTGTGGACTTGTTTTAATTGTCTTCAACTTGAACTTGCTTATGAACATTTGTTGGTCTGTTCCATGATCAGCTCCTGGACTTTTTTTGGCTAAGGATATTGAATGTCTTCATTGCCTCTTGCCACAGATGTAGTCAATCTGATTCCTGTGTGTTCCATCTGCTGAAGTCCACATGTATAGCTGTTGCTTATGTTGTTGAAAAATATATTGCAATGAATAAGTCATTGGTCTTGCAAAATTCTGTCATGAAATCGCCAGCATTATTTCTGTCACCAAGGCCATATTTTCCAAGTACCAGTAATTCTTCTTTGTTTCCAACTTTTGCGTTCCAGTCGCCAGTGATAATCAACACATTTTGATTGCATGTTTGGTCAATTGTAGATGGCAGAAGTTGGTAGAAATCTTCAATTTCCTCATCTCTGGCTTTGGGGTTTGGTGCATAGATTTGAATAATAGTAGTATTAACTGGTCTTCCTTTTAGGCATATGAATATTATCCTATCACTGACAGCATTGTACTTCATGATAGATCTTGAAACGTTCTTTGTGACGATGAATGCTACACCATTCCTCTTCAATTTGTCACTCCCAGCGTAGTAGATCATATGGTTGTCTGATTCAAAATGGCCAAAACTGGTCCATTTCAGCTCACTAATGCCTAGGATATCAATCTTTATGCATTCCATTTCATTTTTGACAACTTTGAATTTTCCTAGATTCATACTTCGTACATTCCATGTTCCCATTATTTATGAATATTTGCATCTGTTTCTACTCATTTTGAATCTTGCCACATCAGCCAATGGAGGTCCCGAAAGCTTTACTCTATCCATATCATTAAGGTTGTCTCTACTCTGAGGAGTCAGCTCTTTCCCAATCAAATTTTGAGTACCTTCTGACATGGTGGGCTCATCTTCTGGTACTATATCAGACAATATTTCAGGGCGATTCATAAAGTTTTCCAGTAATGTATCAGACCATGTTTCACTGCTGTTCATAAGGTTTTTACTGACCAGTTGTTTGAGAAGTGGATGGCCTCTTCCTTCTTCCGAGCCTGCATTATCCCAGAAATTCCACTGAAAACTCTCCACTGTGGATAATCCTGCTGGCATTTTGCAACACCGGTGGCATACCCTCCAGCCTCAGAGAAACACGTAAGCCCGCACAGGACAACAAACTGACAGACAAGTTCGTCTCCTTTAGTTGTTCCTGACCCCTCTGTACCCACCTACCTGGGGCCCTGGCCTTAAAATAGACCCATCCCCAAGCGAAAAGCAGCCTCTGAGCCTTGGGCCCCTGGATGAACTTGGGGGACATTATGCTGAGTGAAATAAGTCAATCACAGAAAGACAGACATAGCATTACTTCATTATTGTGAAAAGTCAAGGAAAGGTTTATATGTAGAAGGAAACTTTGTTTTTCATTACCAGGGGTAGGAGGGGAGGGGAGGAAGCATGGCAAAAAAAAAAAAAAGAAGAAGTATTGACCCATGTCACTTTAGTTTTGTGTGTTTCACTGTACATAAATTATATTTCCATAAAATGGGTTTTAAAAACAAAGAATAGATATATATACAGAGACCAGTGCTCACTGGTGGTTACCAAGGGAGGGGGAGGACGCGCTCTCTTCAGCAGGTCTTAGGATCAAAGCCCTGGAGGACTCTCCAATCTCCTTGATGCTGTACTGTACAGACACTGGTTTTTGTGGCTACTAGAGTCCCCAGGAGCTCTGGTAGCATAGTGGCTAAGGCACTTGACTGCTAACCAGAAGGCTGGTGGTTCAAATCCACTAGCCACTCCTCGGAAGGAAGATGGGGCAATCTACTTCCGTAGTAATACTGCCTTGGAAACCCAAGGAGGGGTCGCTATGAGTCAGGTCCGACTTGACGGCACGTAACAACAACAACAACAACAAGAGAGTCCTCAGCTTTCCAGAGTAACCTCTGGCTTTCCCAGCTCTGGGAGACCCCTCTCGGCTCTCCTGCCCTGCCCCACATTTCGTGCACTGCCCCTCTGCTCTTGGTGAAGGCTGTTTGTAAAGAAATGGGTGGTAGGTGCTCCTTGAGGGTCTCTTTCTTTCTGCTTTGCCCCTAGCCTGGGGCAGAGGTTGTTTCAAGGTCTGTACTGAGAAATTTGGCAGGTGGATGCAGCCTCCCAGGTCTCACTCACTGAAGTCCATTGCCTTTCCGTCTCTGACACTCCCTTGGTTCGGATATTTAGGAAATAGCAGGATTTAAACTGTTGCTGACAAATTGATTTGTTAAAATAAGTAGAATTGTTGATTTTTTTTTTTTTTTTTTTTGAGCTGATCCATTCATAGTGACTGTATCCCAGAAGGTAGGTTAGAGAACTTGATTAGCACATGACTTTGATAGTAGCAGTCATTGAATGACAGAAATAGAAGCTGTTCCATTCATAGCCTGTTAAGCATGGAGAATATGTAATCCAATGACACACTTTAAAAAATGTATGGTGCAAATGCTTGTAGATTTTTATACTCTCCTCCTTTTGGAATCAAAAGCAATAGAAGTAGTGCCATTAAACAGAGACCAGTTATTCTTAAGTCATAATTCACCTTTCTCTTTGTTCATGGAGTATATAGTTCTTTCTAAATCTCTTGTTAAGACCTCTTAGTTTTGACCTCCTTCTCCAGATGAAATATATGAGTAATTAAACTTGAAATTGGACCTGCCATTTGCTAAGTAAACTTCTTCTAAGTGAGGTCTGTGAACTCACTCCTTGAACTGTGTTCCTGTCCTGCGTCCTGTGTACCTCAATGCAGAATGAGCGTGTTGAGTGAATGGCCAGCTTTATTGCTTACAATAGTATAGCTGTGGGCATCTTTTCCCAGTGCTGGTCTGAATGTCCTGAGAACGTGAAATGCATGTCATTCATTTCTGTATTCACAGTGGTGATCCTGGTTACATTTTAGTTGAATTAAAAATAAAAATACAGACTTTTTTTTGTTGAGACATTAAAGGAATGAATGGTCGATAAAGGAAAGTGCAAGGAAAGGATTCTAAATTTCATTGTTTCTCTCCTCTATTAAATGAACATAACACCTGCCTTTTCAAACATGCTTGAAGATTCAAGGAGCAAGAATATCATAATTCAGTGAGGATAATAACTACGTATTTATAGAGAGAGAGCACTACAGCTACGTATTTATACAGAGAGACACTACAGCGTTATAAGTTTATTCATATCCATTTATTTCATGGGACCTCCCAACAACCTTGTGAGGAAAGCATGGTTGATTTTATCGTGATAGCCTGATTTTATTATAAAGTAGCTGGTGTGTGTGTGTGTGTGTGTGTGTGTGATTAAAGGAACTCAGAGTGGGGCATTTTGATGTCAGGTTCAGCATCCTTTCTTTTACATGATGTTTTGTCTTTTTATCCACAGTCAATTAGAAAACATAATAAAGTCTGTAAGAAAAAGTGTAAAAAAAAGTATGCTATCTTATACTTTTTCTCTGTATAAAATGTGGTTCTGCTTTGATACTTGTGTGTGCTTGCACTGGCGTGTGGCCATATTTGATGATATTCTGGACTTTTCCTCTTCGTTGTCTCCTCTTGAGCTTAAGCTTCAGTCTTAAGCATACGACCATGTATGGTCAACAGGAGACCATCTGGTAAATTGTTGACATTCACTGTTGATGAATTCACTTCACACATATGGTACCTGGGGGAGGAGAAGGTATTGAAAAGTCTGTAGGTGGGCTGAGCAGTATCATAAAACATCACCAAAAAATGAACTGGATTTGTTGCTTTAAGTAATTCTCTAGTTTAAGGTACTGCTTTTCTACATTGAGGATTGACTTTGTTACAAAAAGCAGTAAAACTAAGTACTTCTAAAACAAAAGATAGAAAGCATTTGGTGGTGGAATTCAGTGAATTAAGTACAAATGTTATATTAACTGTAAAAAGGTTTTAATTTGTGTTGCATGTGTAGCCAGGAGAGCTGAAGACAGGTTTATTTGTAGAGGGTGTGAGCCAGTGCTTTATAAGGTGTTTTTATCCAGCTGTGCAAATATTTTGTTTTACTTTTGACTTAATGTATAAGACGTAGGGTTATAATAAACTATTTTGCAAATACGTACGATAATTTTATAGAAGTAAAATATTGATTTAATGAGTTAAGGCTTATCGTAGTTCAGCAGAAGTACAAATAAAAGTTGTAAAGCGTACGTAAAAAGTCAGAGGACTGTGTTGATTTGATTTGTGCCATCCGTTTTCTTTCCTGCCCGTTTCAGGGACCAGATGCCCCACTGATTTTGCTGAGGTTCCTTCAGTTTTGATGGAGTACTTTGCAAATGATTATCGAGTGGTTAACCAGTTTGCCAGGCATTATCAAACCGGGCAGGTAGGAAAAAACGATATCGTAATGTCCTTTGGGTACTTAATGGTTAACTTTGTGGATAAGAAGCAGTATGAGTCCAATCCCCAAAATGTGGAGATTGACCCAGCCCCCCACTTGCCACTTCTCTATCATTTCTGACTCAGCCGCCCATGCGGCACACCTTCTCTGACCGCCCAGAGCTAGGGCAGCTCTCCGGGTTAGAAGACCACCATCCTGTAGACTGCCACATAGGCGGGCGCCAGCTGCGAGTTTGGGGGTCCACATGACACCCTCACTTTCAGTGCTGTCTCCCCTCTCCTTTGGGTTTGATCATTTGCTTGACTTAATTATGAAACTCACTTACAGTATTATATTTAGGATTATGGATTTATTATAGTAAAAGATACAAATCTGGACCGTCATAAGGAAAAGCTGCATGGGCAAGGTGTGGGAGGGCCCCCAACACTTGATGTCTTGACAAGGGCCACCGGGAAGCTCTCTGAGCACCCCTGTTCAGGGCTTTCACTGGCCAGTCCTGTACAAGATGCTAGTTGATACCAGGTGAGTCTCTTCTGGTCTGGCCAGCCCTTAAGTGCCAGGACAAGTCCTCAGGTGTGGCCTGGAAGTTCTAGACCAAGGCACCCCAATTATTCCAGCGGTTACTTCTCAGGCACCAAGGATAAAGGCCACCCTATTTAAAAAACAACCAACCAACCAAACTCAGTGCCATCAAGTTGATTCTGACTCCTAGCAACCCCCATTGGATTTCCAAAGCTGTAAATCTTAATGGAAGCAGACTTCCCCATCTTTATTCCATGGAGTGGCTGGTGGTTTTGAACCACTAGCCATTTGGTTAGCAGCCAAATGCCTTAACCACTACCCCACCAGAGCTCCTTCACCCTACTTCAGGTAAAGCTAAATTCTTTACCCGACAGATACGAGCTGCTAACTTAATAGGCAGTTCGATTAATTTTGTAAAGCAGTAGCTCACGTTTTTTGGTCTCAGGGTGACTTTATACTTTTAAAATTATTGAGGACCCTAAAAAGCTTTTCAGTATGTGGGCTATATTTACCATACTAGAAATTAAAATTGAAATTAACTACTATAACAACAACAGAAAAACAAACTCACTGCCCGTGGAGTCAATTCGACTCATAAAGACCCCTCCTTGGGTTTCAGAGGCGGTGTCTCTACGAAAGTAGTCTGGCCCAGTTTTCTTCTGAGGAGTGGCTGGTGGGTTTGAACTGCCAACCTTCTGGTTAGCAGTCAAGTGCCTTAGGCACTACCCCACCAGAGCTCCAAAATTGAAATTAAGAAAATATTTAATAATATATTTAAAAATAACAAACCTATTCTATGTTAATGAACTAATTTTGATTAAAAGTAACTATGTTTTCTGTGTAGTGAGAAGAGCCACATTGTCTAATGCTGCCTCTTGAATGTCTCACTTAATAGAAGCCAACTGGATTCACATAGCTGCTCTTTTTTTAACCTGTTAAATAAGTTGTGTTGAAGTATATGGAGAAGATCCACCCACACAGAGATATGTAGATTGAAAAGGGAGGAGAATTTTAAAAGCCTTTTCAGATAATTGTGGGTGTTCTTCTTTGATAGTAAGCCAAAACTTTACAGTGGTGGTTTGTTAAAGTTTAGTGCAATGTGGAATCTGACATCACATCAGTAAGCTTTTTATACTGTTGTGTTAAATCCACTGGTCTTTTTTAAGGAGCTCTGGTGGCACAGTGGTTAACCATTTGCTGCAAACCAAAAGGTGGGCAGATCGAACCCACCAGCTGCTCTGCAGGAGAAAGATGAGGCAGTATGCGTCCATAAAGATTTATAGCCTTGGAAACCCTATAAAGCAGTTCTGCTCTGCCCTCTAGGGGTACTGTGGGTTGGAATTGGCTCAACAGCATTGGGTTTGGTTTGGGCTTTGCTTCTATAAAGATTACAGCCTTGGAAACCCTCTGGGGGCAGTTCTAGTTTGTCCTTTAGGGGCGCTGTGAGTCAGAATCAAATCAATGGTAGTGGGTGGTCTGTTTTTCCCTTTGAATATATTTTTTACCTGTGGAAGATACTGACTCATTAAGTTTTGCATATTTTTCAAATGTTAACACGTTTCATATGTAATATTTTTTAAAAATCACATGCATTAATGTTACTCTCAATCTCATCAGAAAAGCCTGTTATCAGATGCTGTTGTATTCACTGTGGCAGATGGGCGTTTTCTAAAATTCTAATCTTTGACTGAAAGCTTGATTTCTTATCACTGACTACAAATGTTATCACTTGTTCTCCTTTAAGTAACAGGCTTACTTAATTCATTTTTGAGAAAATGTCTGCTAGATACTTAAATTGGAATAACCATAGTTTGTCAGTCCTTCTTTCAAGTAAAAATCACATTCTGTGAAAAAGGTGTCTAGTTTAGTTCACAACTCACAGGCACTTTTAGGAGTATCTTTTCCTCGAGACCAGAAATTTCCTTGTACAGCAGAAACACATTGTATTCACCTCTTACTTCATCACCCAGCACGTAAGGCATTTGTCTGCTAATGAGGTCGGTGGTTCAAACCTAGCAGCTGTTCTGCGGGAGGAAGATGAGGCAATCTACTTCCGTAAAGATTTACAGCCTTGGAAACCCAGTGCGGGTCACTATGAGTCAGAATCGACTTGACGGCAGTAGGTTGGGTTTGGGTTTTCATCACCCAACATACTAAAAGGACATGTGCTGGAAGATCGAGACTTAATACAGCGAACGATGTGTACTGCTTCACCAGTGGCACTGTTAAATGAAATTGGCAGCACTCCTCCACTGAATGTGTGTGCTGGTGAAGAATACTGTGACTGCCAGTGTGGTTTAGGCCACTGCCTCGATTCCTGCTAGGGCACTCGTGGTTTTACCTACCATCGATGTAAACGTTGGCACAATTAAAAAGGTGAAGTGTGGTTTTAGTTGTATTGCAAAAGTAGTTTTGACCTTGCAGGCTTCTCGAGAATGCCTTGGGAACCCCCAATGGCATGTTGACCACACTTTAGAACTGCCTATAAAAGAGTGGAAGTTATACTTACAAGGAAGTTCCTGATGAAACGAGGGCTTAACAGAAATTTAACAGTTCAGCCTAACATTTATTGTGTGTCAGGGAGTTTATAGGTGCTGGGATACAAAGATAAATATAGCTTAGCCCCTCCCTGAGGAGGTTCGTATTCTAATGGGAGTAGAAAGGCCCATGAGCACATGGTCCCAGTGCATGGTGGTGGGGCTTGAATGGAAATAAGGGGAGAGTCCTGATTTGTGCAGTCTGCCTCCTGCAGGGAGTTCATCTCCAGCTCACAGATTAGCCTTAAAGATCCACTGGTCACTGAGCCAGTGTATTAAAAATAATTCACTTAAATCCTTAATTGCATGGAATTTGACAAAGCAGATTTACTTAATATCACTTTTCCATTTGCTTTTTTTTTTTTTTAATTGCAACTATATTGTCTTGGAAAGAATTCCAAAGAGTTTGAATCTAAAATTGTGGCAGAGAGCATTACAATGGTGGGCTTGTATTGCATGCTGGGTAAATTTGAACTGTTAGTTCTTTGTCAGAACTCTGCAAGCTTCCCTCCATACCAGAATCCTTCAATTTGTTCTTTTCCTGACCTACCCCCCTTTTTTTGGTCTGGATCCATGTTGTTGTTGTTAGGTGCCATCGAGTTACCTCCAAGTCATAGTGACATTATGTACAGCAGAATCAAACACTGCTGAGTCCTGTGCCAGCCTCACAATCCTTGCTATACCTGATCCCATCGTTGTAGCCACTGTGTCAATCCATCTTGTCAGTCCATCTTTACCACTGCAGTGATTTTCACAGTGTTGTTTATTACTGGGTTTTGCTTCCTCTTGGGGATTGTGTGTTATTCTTTCTGGCCAGTGGCTCCCGTACAACTCTGCCTTCACCCGGCCTTTAGCCACCAGCTTCTCTGGACTCCACCTCTGAACATGTGGCCTTGCTCAGCCTTGAATAGGGGTTGAGTGAAGGCAATTGCAAACGCATAGTCAAGAGATGATGAGGGCCTGGACTACAGTGCCTTGCGTGGAGAAGCAGAAAGCGAGAGCTATGTGAGACTTGATTGGAAGGACTTGAAGACAGTTACTTATCAGGGATGAGAACGAGGAAAAGTCAAGAGGGAGACTCCATGAACAGAGAATACTGGAAGAGTGTCACTTTTGAGGGGGAAGACGCCAAGTTGTTTCCTTGGGTATGTCATTGAACATCATTGCTTTCTACCTGGCCATTGGAAATAAATGTCTGAAGTTTAGAGCCAAATAAACACTGCAGATATTTAGGAATAATTGTAATAGAGATAACAGTTGAAAAATTGCCCTTGAGATAAAAACAAGAGACGTCCACAGAAACCAGCGTCACTAGGAAAAGATCTGTCGGATGACCTTCAGTTTTTAAAAGAGACGAATAGAAAGTATGAGAAGGACACACTTATATAAGGTATATGTAAAGAACCATGAGCCTCTCAGAGCAAAAACTTAAAAAAAAAAAAAAATTAAACCTTGAAATTCACCACAAACACTAAAGGCAATTTACAAAGTATTATCATCTGTTTACATAGCTATTTGACAGGGAACTTCCTGAAATGCAAGCTGCATTCAGAAGAGGATGTGGAATAAGGGATATCATTGCTGATGTCAGCTGGATCTTGGCTGAAAGCAAAGAATACCAGAATGATGTTTACCTGTATTTTATTGACTGTGCAAAATCATTTGATTGTGTGGATCTGCGGTGTAGTAAATTACATAGTATGACTTTTCTAGTCTTTGTAATTCCCACTTTGTTGTGAGCAGCTGAGTACCCGATTGTTAAAGTTATCCACCTGGAATATTTCTGTCGTAGCAGCATGAAGTAATCTTCTGGGAAGTTCACTGTCTTTTGGGTTTTGGGGTTCTGACATTGGGATTGGTTTTGACGTTGGAATTGGTTCGTTTTGCCACTCTCCCAGGCTTAAAATGAGCCTTCCTAGAGGCAGA